TCGTTAATGGTCAATTATGGGTATTTTTACAAGCCCAGTTGCCGTTAGATGTGCTTACATCTCGAGAATTGAATATGTGGATTGTTTCTAATGAAATCCTTCAGGACATGCTATGGTATAACATGCTTGCAACTCTTTTGGATAAGTTTCTTCTTTCATGGCTTTATGTTTTGTCCCTTCCTTAGATGTGCTTAGATCTGGAGAATTGAATTTTAATACGTTCTAGGAGGCTGACCTTCCCAATTTGGAAAGAAATAATCAAGAGATCTTTTTAGGAAGAAGGTGGTGGAGGCAGGAGAGGGGTAAGAAATAACCAGCGATTCTATCGCGAACACAGAGAAATTGCCAGCATATAACTTTGCTTCCTCATGTTTACTCTCACATTATCTCAATCCTTGCGGACTGTCATTTCCTTGAGATAATTGCTTGTCAGGACGAGAGCATGTTCGTAGTCGATATTTACTGTTTAGTGACAAACTTTGATTCTGCAACATATTTTGTGCCATCTGTTTGAAATTTCTTACGATTAGCAAAAGAATCCCCCTTGTATATTGAGGATCAATACAAATGATATCTCAAGCTTTTCTTACAGTGCAGGTTCCAGATCGAAGACGGTTATGAGCATGACCGCTGCACCCACTGGTAAACACTTGTTAAGCGAGCGGGCTTAGCGTTCCATAGGCAAGTATGTTTCACTTTGCAGGCATTTTGTAATGCTCTCTCCATTTATGTGTTCCTGCTATTAGAAAATCTGTGTTTGGCGGTGGAACTTTGGCTCATTATTTCCTGGCTTATAAGTTCTTCTGCTGTGGCATAATATAGTCTCTACTTCTGAGTTGCTGCAAATTTCTGTGGAATTTCATTGTGAAATTCATGGATGTTCCGAAAGCGCTCAAGACAGGTCAGGTGAAGAAGAACATCATTGTAAATGATGGTGTAAGATCCCAGGTATTGGCTGAAATTAATGATGTTTTGTTTTGGATTTTTTTTTTTCATCATCTGAGTTCAGCTGCTGATATTTAACAGGTGGGAGGAAATGTGGTTAGTCACTGTTCATTGTTCACTTGTTTGGGACTCTCTTTAAAACACCTTTTTTTCCTTTTTTTTATAGTTAGATTTTTGTAGAAAGAACAATTTCCATTCTGAAAAGGTTGAAAACAGTATATATATATTTTTAATTTTTAAAAATAGCTCCAAAAGATTTCCTAAAATTCTAAATTAGTTTTCAAGCTTTAAAAGTGGGATCAGCTGCATTAGTTTTTTACTTTTGGATGAAAGTCATCTGATAATTCCAAGAAGTTTGGGAAAATTGTTGGATGTTTCCAGAATGAATTGGATTAAACTAGGGCATGTCTGGTAATGTTTTCGTTTATGGTTTATTCTTGTAACTAATTTATCAAGATTTATTTTTTAAATATTTAATTAATTTATGAAATATATTTTTAAAGCCTCTTCGTATTTTTAAGTCAAGTTTGGCTTTGGGGCTTTGATTGAGGTGGGTTTTCTAAAAATTTTGGAGCCTTAATAATATTGGATAAGGTGAGTTTCGTAAATTTATTTGGACTCTAATAACTAAATTTAGTCTTTTTTTTAATAAATTTAAATTTGTGATGTCTAAATTCTCAAGTTAAAATTCAATAAAATATTTAATTGAGAAACAAATCTACGAAAAAAATGGGTAAGTGATAAGTTAACAGATCAAAATAAAAAATTATCAATATCCTTTCTTTTTTTGGCTTAAATCCAAAGGAAAGTAATAAATGTCATCTACTAGGATTAATGAAAAATTAACTGATCTAGATTAGATTAAATTATATATTTAAGCTCCAAATAACAAAATTTCTAATTGTTCTAAATAATCCCAAATATAAAAGTGTGGTTGTAATTTAAAACTTAAAATTAAATAATAGGAAGCCTATTAAAAAGGAAAGGGCCAGAAATGGCTTACAATAATTGACAATTGATTAAATAATTGAACAATTGGCATTTAGTCAACTCAATCAATGATTGAAATTTTGGTTAACTTGGTAAATAACTTATATTTGACCGTTCATATGCTAAATAGGTTATTGACATTTAACATGGTCAGATTAGAATTTGAAATTTGGTATATTTTGGTCAGTTTGGCTTTGATTAAATCTTTAAAGACATGTATATCGTTACAATATTTGTAACAAGTTCTTACATGGTCCCTTTCTTTTATATGATATGGGGCGATAAGTTAAGGTGTTTTGATTAAGTGACGTGTCAATAACAAAGGATTGCTCGAAAATTTTGAATATAGTAAAAAGTGAGAGGCAATGAAGGAATCATCAAAAAAAAAAAAAAAATTGGGATAAAGAGAGATAAATAGTGCGGTTCACATTTTCTTGTGTTTAGAGCTTCTCATTTTCTTATAGAAGTCTGTCCATGTTGGGGATGGGTAAAATCTTGTGAAGTAGCAGGGTGCATTGAGCAACGGGGGATGAGGGTGATTCTACCCATGGGTTGGACCACGCTACAAGTTGAAGTGCTTCCACGGCAGGAGAAGGATAGGGCAATGTTTTCGTTGTCGGATGAACAAGAAAGGAATTGGAAAGGAATTGGAGGGAAGACAAGACTCACGACAGGAGAAGGACAGGGCATTGTTTTCGTTGTCGAATGAACAAGAAAGGGAAGGAAGCTAGTCGTTGGAGGGAAGACAAGACTCGTGGAGTGAAGGAGGTGTGAATCACAAGTCGCACATAAGTCATAAGGTCGCACGACAAAAGAACACCCAACATAAAGATAAAGATGTACACTTTAGATTTCACAATCTATCTTACTAATAAAAGAAAAAGGGGTAGCCTGCTCACTCTTTTGTAGAGAATCGCATCGAGACAAAAGAAATGTTCTGACGTGCATGAAATGCATCTTACTTTCTTGCTGACTGAATCAATTGAAGGAGGTTTCTATAAGAAGAGTTGCGACTTCACGTCGGAGCGGACATGGTTTCATGACGAGTGGGCATTCACTCTCAAGATGCCTTGATGGTGAAATGGTAGACACGCAAGACTCAAAATCTCATGTTAAATAGTGTGGAGGTTCGAGTCATTTTTAAGGCATGCATAATGGTGAGAATGCTCGTTGAATTGGAAGGAACGATAGTAGATCACGAAAGCGTGGCAATCTCCATTGTCTGTCTTGCACTCACCCTTGAGTATAAGCTTGAGTATAAGCTTCAACAGGAATTAAACAAGTTTAAGGAATGAACTTGCCAATTAAAGTATACCCCAACACAATAAGGTACATGTATCCAACTATGAGGTTGAGAGTTTGAATCTCCATTCTCACATGGTACTTAAAAAAAATAATTAAGAATTATAGTTTTTTTTTTTTTTAAAAAGAACGATTTGGGATGATTTGCAGAGTTACAAAAATCAACAAAACCCATTCATTTTCTGTACAAAATTTGATATAATTGATCCATTTCCTATACGGAGTTACATTGAGCAACTTTATATTTTGCTTCTCATTCAAACTAAATCTCTAAAGCTACTTAAACTATAAGTAAAGAATTAGCATATCTTATGAAAAAGGTATATATTCGTACTAGTCATCCTGAATTAAAACACGATTCAAGAGATTTTCTTTAAAAAAACAATTTATGCACAAAATCTAACTTTATTACAAGAGAGGGTCGTGAGATAGACTCGGGCCAAATTTCAAAAGTCGAGACAATAGAAAACAGACACCCCTCAATTCCTTGGTTTGGTTTTTTATAAAAATCATAATTTTCAAAATCGATCTAACTCCTTAATAATAATGTTTCCCTTCAAATAAAAATCTAACTCACTCATTGCATCTCTTTATATTTTTTTACCCAATTCAGACCTTTCATGTAGGAAAAAACGTTCTTATTATTACAATGACATTGGAATTTCGGGAGAAAATGATTGAATTTACTAACTATGGCAATATTTCTAAATTTATTTAAGAAAAGATTAGATGTGTGGCGTGGTGTACACGCGCTTTGCTCTGCGTGAAAGTAGCGCTGGTTTTGATTTCAGTTAGTGTCGTTGGTTCCCTCCCGCTAAAGACTTGTTCCAGATCTCGCGCTTCAAAAACGCGATTCTCTTCTATTTCACCATTCTCCTCCTCTCCTCTTCCTCCTCCTCTCTCTCTCTCTGAAATTTTCTCCGTCTCACTTTCTTGCAGCCATGGATGAAGAGTACGACGTCATCGTTCTCGGAACTGGCCTCAAAGAGTGCATTCTCAGTGGCCTTCTCTCCGTCGATGGCCTCAAGGTATTCTCTAGCTATTTTCCGATAGTGAAATCGTCGCGTTTCTTTTCAATTGCCTGTTAAATCCATGGTTTAGGAAGTAGGAAGGTCCAAGTATTGACGTTATCATCATCGATCATTTTCTTCTGTTTTGAATTTGTTTGATAGATCTGCGGAAAATATGATCTGTGTATGAATTCGGAATTTGGAAATCTGGTTATAAATACTTGCTCCTTTGGTGTAGCGGAAGTTCTTGAGCTCCTGACGCTTCGGATTAGGTGTATCTTGTAAATGTAATCACGGATGAATATTCTTTCACTTCTCGCCAATGCCTTTTTTTTTCGTCAGTGCTTCTAGTGTTATTAAATTTTTTCAATCACGGATGAGTTTTGGCTAAATAACTACAGGAATCACCATCAGTCTGTTTCGAAGCTTTTCAAGGAACAAATTTCGTTGTATTTTGTAGTTTCAATTTTCTTTTATCTCAGTTAGAAATTTGAGAATATATAATATTCTATTAATGCCCGAATTTTTCCTTTTGAGATGCTGATATTTTGGAAGTATGCATTTGGACTATTTGGATTGGAAGTGTTTTGGTAAACATTTTTCTGCTTTAGATAATTGTTTCTGAGAACCACCTCTCTTTATGAATAACTGAAGTTATTTTTCTTCTAAATTGACGAGATTATAAACGGTGGTTTTGAGTGCATATAATCTCTACTTTACAAGTTACTTGTTTTGTTTTTAAGAACAACCTTCAAATAACCCTCAAGTATCTTACAACTCTATTTTTGTGAAATTCCCTTGTCTATAACTTTTCTAGTTTCCTGTTCTTTGTCTGATCTGATCTTAAACTTGGAAACATTTATTCTTCCCCTCTTGATTTAGGGATTAAACCAGTAATCTTCTTGAACAGGTACTTCATATGGATAGAAATGACTACTACGGAGGAGCATCAACCTCTCTTAATCTCATACAGGTTTATTATAATCAAATTCATGGTTTCCTGTTTTCACTTGTTTAAAATTCCTATTCCCTCCATGGCTGATTTTTATGTTCTAATACTTTTCTCTTCCCCCTGTAGATTTGGAAGCGTTTCAGGGGGAATGATAAGCCTCCTGAACAGTTGGGCTTGAGCAAGGAGTACAATGTTGATATGATACCTAAGGTAGGTTCAGATTGCTCAATTGTCGTGCTTCTTAGTGTGAAACCCAGTAATCAAGGTCCCATTTGATAACTGTTATTTTTCATTTTCAAATCTTGGTTATTATCTTAGAAAAAAATAATTTAGAAAGTACATTGCAAAATAAAATAAATTTCTAATAAACAGACTTATTTCCTAAAAACAGAGCTAAAAACAAATTGTTGTCCAAGGGCTGTAGGTGTTTTGGTTGATCTGAGAGCTTCTGTCCATTTTTTCTTGCATAGTTCACGATGGCCAATGGTGGTTTGGTACGAGTGCTTATCCACACAGATGTTACCAAATACCTACACTTCAAGGCTGTGGATGGTAGTTTTGTGTACAACAAGGGGAAGGTAAACCGAATGCTTATAGAAAGTTTGGCCCTATTTTTCTCTCTTTCTTATAATAATTATGAAGAAAGAAAGAAGGAAAAGTGTTAGGCTGTTAGTGTATCTGATCAACTCACTTGTGAACAGAGCTTACTCTAAACAAATTGCTGCCTTTTTTTTTTCTGCTTTATATTTTTTTAGATTTACAAAGTTCCAGCTACTGATGTTGAAGCTCTAAAATCACCACTGATGGGACTTTTCGAGAAGCGTCGTGCTCGAAAGTTCTTCATTTATGTTCAAGATTACGAAGAGTCTGATCCAAAATCTCATGAAGGTTTAGATTTGAACAAAGTTACAGCTAGAGAACTCATCACGTGAGGATGCCCCCCTTTCCATCTTTTTGGTTATACAAGTTTATAAACTGGACTTAAGGCGACTTTTATTTTGATTGAAAGAAATCTGTCCATTTCATTCTCGCGCATTTGGTATTGCAGGAAGTATGGGCTAGAAGATGATACAATTGACTTTATTGGGCATGCTCTGGCACTACATTTCGACGACAGTTATTTGAATGGGCCAGCCTTGGATTTTGTGAAGAGAATGAAGGTAAAACTGTGTTATGCTTTACTCTCTACATTCGTCTGTGCATATGTTCTAAAATTGAAAAGGAAAATTGAAAAATTTTGCACTGCGTTATATTAGAATGGTAAGCTGTTTGTCTTCAAAGGAATTGACACTTGTTTTATATAGCTTTACGCAGAGTCTTTGGCACGCTTCCAAGGAGGTTCTCCCTATATCTATCCACTCTACGGACTTGGAGAGTTACCTCAGGTATGTTTAAAAGTTTAATATCATGCAAGGAAATGTAAGTTCTCTTATCTTATTATTTTTAAATTTTTGGCAGGCATTTGCTCGTTTAAGTGCCGTTTATGGTGGAACATACATGCTCAACAAGCCAGAATGTAAGGTAAACTCAGTTTACATTGCTAACAATTGGATTGTAGCCTAAGCTCTGTAAATTTCTTCATCCCCATGTTCGTCATCAATCATTAACTACGTAACTTTAAAGCTAAAACTAACTGCTTTCCGAGGGAAAAAGGTAAGAAGTAACAGCTTAGCGATAGATGCATCTCCGAATTCCCATTATTTCTTGACTAGTTTTTAGCAGGCAGCAGTGATATTTGATCTGTTGAAGAGTGAATTGGATCCTAACTTTTTAAGCTTTTGAGTCTAGTGATAGTTTAACATAAAATGAGGTCATCTAACACCTGCAATACCGGTATCTGCAACGATGTGATAATAAGCGGGGAATTACTTTCATGTTGTACATAAAAATGTTTAGCTATACTACTTTCTTGATCTTACGTTTTTTTTTTAATTGAATTTTTATGCCAATGAATGCCTTCTCTATTTCTCTATTTGAATATTCAGCATTTGATTCTTTCGAGATTAATTGATTTTTGGATAACAGGTAGAGTTTGATGGTGATGGGAAAGCTTATGGTGTGACTTCCGAAGGAGAAACTGCCCGATGCAAAAAAATTGTTTGTGACCCATCGTATCTGCCAGATAAGGTACTCTCAACATCCAAAAAGTATTGACTATTGAGCTTATGGTTTCTCTTGCTAAATCAAACTCATTGGTTGATTGATTCAACAGGTTCGAAAGGTTGGAAAAGTAGCTCGAGCAATTTGTATAATGAGCCATCCAATCCCAGATACCCATGATTCTCATTCGGCTCAGGTTATTCTGCCGCAAAAGCAACTTGGTCGTAAATCAGATATGTAAGTGCTATGCCAAAGAATTACAACAAATTACATGGAGTTCTTCATAATCTGCAAAAGTAATTAGCTGTTTTCCTTTAATTTTGTTGCAGGTACCTCTTCTGTTGCTCATATGCACACAACGTTGCTCCAAAAGGAAAATTTATTGCTTTCGTTTCCACAGAAGCAGAGACCGATAATCCTGAGGTAGAATTGAAGCCTGGGATTGACCTCCTCGGACCTGTTGATGAGATATTCTATGAAACTTATGACAGATTTGTTCCCACAAATAACCATGACACTGACAATTGCTTCATATCCACGGTATGCTCACAAATGTATTTCTTGAATTTTTATGTTCCTGTTGTGTTAATTGGAGAGAAATAAAAGCAGAAGTTCTCTGACCCAAAACCAAATCTTTTTATTTTCTTTTTTTGTTATCACCACAGAATGAAAGCTTCTTATTTTGTTCTTGAGTTTGAATACTGGTTTCACTGCAGAGTTATGATGGAAGCACCCATTTTGAGTCTACAGTAACAGACGTGCTTGACATGTACAGCAAGATCACTGGAAAGGTACACCAGTTTTCAAATATTTATGAAAATTTACCCAAATTTTGACTAGAAACTTATAAGATCATTTCGATCGTGTACAAAATTTTGAAAAAAATGATCTATCTACTATTTGCGGCTTCAATGTTTGAACTGAACCTTTTGAACAATATCTGAACAACTTTCTGTAAAATTGCATCATTTATGGTTTCAGGAACTTGATCTTTCTGTGGATCTCAGTGCTGCAAGTGCTGCTGCTGAAGAATGAGAAACAGTAGTGCTAATTCTTGAGAGAAAAAAAAAAAGTAACATTTTTGTTTGTTTGTTTGTTTCTAATTAATTTTTTTTTTCCTTTTTCTATAAGTACTTCTGCATCCGAATGTGTCGTTGCTCATTTTAAAGGGACTTCCAATATATACCCAGATTCAAATACGTTACTCTACTTTATTTCTTCCTTAATTTTGCACATGAAATTCTCAGCCTCAATTGTTTTGTTAAAGTTCTGGGGGTTTGTTTCCTGTTTTTTACTCTTATATTGTTGGGAAATGCAAATGAGAACAAACCAATTAAAGGGTAAAAGTGAAATGCTGTGAATACCGAAAGGGATAAGAATGATATGATGTATATAAAAGAAATAGTATGTATATAAATACTGATTTGATCACTCAAAAGGAATTCGACAAGGGGAGGGATACAATGGTAATTGGATCACTCGTTAATACAAGGGAGATATAAAATTGATTGACGGGAAATATCGATAATGAAGTGGTTCAACTCAACTATATATCTACCGAGCAACAAATAGCTCGAAAAGTTATAACAAGTTAGGTTTATATAGAGCTCATTTTGACGAGAATGTTGAAAATTAGTGCCAAAGTTAGAGCATCCTTGTAAATAGTTTTTAAGGATAGTTATAGATTTGTACACGATTAGGTTAATCTCTTTCCAGATTAGGTTAGTTTCATTTGTTAACCTCTACTCTTTCTTGTATTTATCCCATTTGTATTATTAGTTGTAAAATAATTATTTATTATTAGTCGTAAAATAATAAGATATACTAAAAATCTATTAGAAATGTGTAATAAGTAAAGACCTATTGGACACGACATTGAAAATTCATCCAACATTAAAAGTTGAAAGATTTATTAGACAATTTTTAAAATTTAAGAATAATCTATTTGACACAACATTACAAGTTTGAAGACCAAATCTATAATTTAGTCTTCATGGCCCAGTGCTCTTGTAAAAGCCTTATGTCGTTAGGTTAATATAAYCATACCTCTCAATTTTCAGAATTAATTCAGAATTGTTTTATGTGGATCGTTGTGAAAAATAAATAACCATACCTCTCAATTTTCAGAATTGTTTTACGTGGATCGTTTTGAAAATTATTTTTCACGAATGAGTTGTATTTTCATATTTTATATATTTAGATTTCAAGATTAATTTTTTTTAATACTAAGATGACCATTGCTTTTATATTTAATAAGATTTGTGTTTTTATTTAAATATTTCCAAATTTGAATTTTCCATACGACAATGTTTTGTCCTCACTCACATGCAACTAGGAGGTCACCAGCCGATTGTTCCAAGTCAAGCACGTTTAACCTAATAATGCAACTAGAGCTCTTACGATTGAGCTTCCGAAAAGGAACGTATACTTTGTTAGTATAGGTAGTGAGTATCAATTCTTTTAAGTCTTTTATTGTCTATTCTTCCATGATCCTAGGATCCCTCTCATTCGAACGTGGTATCGGTTCATTCATGTACTCCTCCTCTCTATTTAGTCATTACTTTGCAAAATTCCAAAGGGACTTCGTCCTATACTGGTTATTTTAAGATAAAAGTGTAAAATTTAAACCTGAATTCATTTATGTAAATTGAATCCCGTATGGTCTAGTAGTGTATTGATCCCTTTTTCAAAGGGTCTAATTAAGTGCGTACATCGATCGGTTGGGTCGGTTTTTAGGTCCAAACCAATGTCGATTATGTCGGTTTTCGAAAATGAAAACCAACCAACCATTTTTGCCGCTTTTCAACCGATTAAACAGTCGATTCGGTTGGTGGGTGGCCCTGCTGCGATTCGTCAGTTGGAGTTCATCGGTTTCAAAAGGTTATATAAGATGAAGATGAGATGGAGAGGTGGGAGAAGAAGAGAGAATGGGAGAAAAAAGAAGAAAAAGAGGAAAAACGGGAGAGAAGAGAGAGGAAGAAGACATACCTTTTCACACTAAAAAAATACATTAACAAATAAAAGTTAAAAAAAGAGAAGGAAGGAGAGGAGAAGATAAATATGGGAAAAGTTGGGAAAAGAGAAGAGAGGAGAGGGGAAGATGAAGATGGGAGAAGGAAGAATCGAAGAAGCTAGGGAATAGAAAGAAAAAGTGCAGGAAAATAAAGAAAATAGGGAAAAAAAATACAATTTTTGTCATGGGTTGGGGGTAAATGTTGTAATTGAAGTTTCAAAATTAACCTGAGATTGGAGTAGGTGACTAAATGACGTGGCAATTAAAAGGTGACTAAACTTTTCTAATTTGCTTTTTTAATGAGTTGTAAAAAATTATTAATTTTTAAACAATTTTATGATTTTTTTATTCTTTCTCTTCTTTTGATCCATTCATCTTCTTGTACCATCCACTGTCGCCGTCAATTGCTGTCACCCGTCGTTGCTGTCCACCAAAGAGAGGGAAGAGCTCTCCATCTCCCCCGTTCCAGATTTGGTTCCCTCGTTTCAAATCTACAACGGGGAAAGGAGGAGCTTTCCCTCTCTCTCCCGTGAGCAGCAATCGCGGCACGACAGTGGGTGACAATAATAGTAGACGATGACGGCTGGCGACAACGATGGTGGACAACAATGATGGTAGCAAGGAGATGAAGAGACCAAAAGAATTAAAAAATTAATTAAAAAATGTCACCTCACATCACAAAATTATGTAAAAAGTTAATATTTTTCTACAAATCATGAAAAAAAAGCCATTTATAAATATCCAATCACTTGTTAATTGCCACATCATTTTTCCTTCACCCCAAATTAAATTATATTTCACTTGGGAAAACCAACTAGTGGCACCAGTTTTCCCAAGGAACCACTGGCAACTGATCGACGATCGGTTTTTAATTTTTTCAAATCGACTCCAACCAACTTTTTTATTAAACTGATCGACCGACGTCAATTTAGTTAGTTTTAGTTGGTCGGTTAAGTTTTTCAATCTCTTTTATTCAGCCCTAGGTCTAATTTCCCTCCATCTCTTGTTAGCTAGTAAGATTGGAGCTCTTCTTGCTCTATTAGATTACATAATTCTCTGACCACTATTTGTTCATTGGCATTAAGAATAAGAAGTTTAATGAGTCGACTTTATTTGCATTAAATCAATATCTTGTGTTCCAAGACACTGAAGTAGAAGGTTATAACTATTCATAAACAATATTGATCTCCTAAAGGTTACATCCTTCATTAGCCATCTAACTCCCTCATGATACCTTCCAATTTACCTTCTCATTTGTGGCCAAAAGTAACAACTGAAAATGCTTCAGAAAAACAAGTTCATTAGTTGCACTAGATCTGTTATCATAACCTTTTTTTTTGGTAATTTAGCATAAGAAAACCTCTAAAGTAACTTAGCATAAGAAAGCATGCATTTAACCCTCTAAAATTATCACTCATTAACCCTTTTGAATATTACTACTAGTCGCGCCATTTTCCTTACACAATTCAGGTATTCGAGACCATTATCAGTTTTAAGTATTTTCATTTTTCCATTAGATTGTACTCCGACCTTTCTCTCCAAGTTTTAAACTTATCTAGGACTTCGGCTTTACCAGTTTCTTCTTTATTCTTACTTTTTATGATTCTATTCTCTATTATACATATTAAAAATAAAAGAGAATTGAGATGCATTGAATATCAGAATACTGTAATCTCCAAAGCAAGCTATTCACATATTATCAAAATCATTTAGCCAAGTAATGAAAGATAGGCTGTAGAATAGTATGAGTCCATTCTGGAGAATAGTACGAGCCAGTAAGTTCCTATATTCACAGACAAAAGCAGAGCTTTACAGAGGCAGGTAATGAGGTTCATTTACCTACATAAATATACAACCTATTTAAACTCATTCAAAATCAGGCAATGTCAATTTCAGTTGTTTCAGTACGGCTTCTTATGGAGTCAAATTTATCTCCCCCGAACCGTCAACTCTAGGCCTTTTAGCAGAATGTTGTTTGCTAGAACCATATGCTGTATGTACATTGCTCACTATCAGATCATGTTGTCTATTATCGTTGAAGTCTGCACTAGATTCACCCGCTTCCCTTGATAGGAAAGAGTCGTTTTTTAAGGAAGAGGAAATCTCGATTTCCTTACTATCATGCATAGAATTTCCCGATTGTACCACTTCGATTCCATTGTACATTTCATCAGCCTCCTCTGAATCTTCAACTATATACTCCTCCTCTGAATCCTCTACTACACAAGTGGCAAGTTCTTCACTTGAGGTGGTTAAGGTCTCTGGTTCATCTGCTTCAGTTGGATGGTCCAGTCTCTTGTTTGCTTGAGGTGAGTAATCCCTTCCCGATACCGATATGGTATGAGACTCACCAAGAGATGGCTGAGATGACGGTCTTCTATCTTTATCTTTGGCATTTCTAGAAAATCTCCCCTCAGTAGATATTTCTAATTCTCTAAATTGTTGGCCAAAACTGGATGCTGATGAACATTCAGAAACAATAGCAGAAGCATGGTTACGATCTTCCAAACACTGAGGTGAATCAGAAATTTCACCATTTTCATCTTCCTGCACCTCGGGAAAAAAACAAGAAGATAACAAATGCAAATTTACGTCATGTTTTAGATAATATAATATGGAAATAGGCATAATTCACATGCAGCTATGTGAATACATCAGCTATCGACTGAGATTGGTTATAATATCATATTCCAACCAAACTATGATGTAATGGCCAAGATGCTCCACATAGCCTCCAATATGATATTTCATGAATGAACTAATTATAATGAAATTTATTGGCTTTTTCCCCATTGGAAAACATGGCAACTATTATTGAGAACATCACGGGCATAGATTTTGTTTGATGTTCATTAGTAAAAGGTGCATTGTAAAAATATTACTCTTATAGAGGTGGCCTCCATGTGCATGAAACATAAGAAGTTTTATACTTTTTGTTATACCGTCGTGATGCATTGTTGTAAATAGCTGAATTGTAAATAGTTGAATTACAAGTCTATGTCTTACCAATATGAGCATAGCTCAACTGGTTAAGACATATTCTCATCCTTGTTGTACTCAATTATAAGTCTTGCCCTTTATTGTCATTCTTCATACATCGGTATGTGATTCTAGTGAACAATGAAAGTATATAAGACTTGTGCCCCGAAATTCTATTTACCAGATAGTATCAGTGTATCGTTTTTCTAGGTAGGGTTTTGTTTCTAGTGAGTTATAAGATTTGAGGTATGAGTCACCTTTTGGGATAAAAATTCGTCGTCGTTACCGCCCATACCAAGAGGAGCACTACAGGACTGGTGCTATACTTTTTTCTTTTCCTCACCATCTATGGGAGCTAGGAGAAACATTAAGATGAGTCTATGCTGTTGGTTCTCCAAGTCATAAGGTGCCTTCTATTGATCTATTTTCTACTCCCCCAAATTGAAGGGGAGAATGTTCAAATTATCTTTGTAACATGCTAGCCATGACTAATCGATATGCTTCAGCTCAAGTGTTGTTGTACCACGTATATTAAAATATATTTATATTAAATGAGTTAGTTATAAGTCCATTAATTATATTACCTTATATTTTTATTTTACATGTACTATTTTATGACACCTTTGTATGCCACCTAGATATACATATATATAATATTAGTGACTGGAGAGGAGTACGGGTGTTTTTCTCTCAACCCTCTCCTGACATATGGCTTCATAGAATGCAATAATATTTCGGAAATCAATTTCAGTTTCACAGTTTATTAAACTATAAAATGTCCAAAAGGTCAGAAGCTTGAATCCCTATCCCTCGTATTGTTGAACTCAAGAAACAAAAAAATTAAAAAATGCAAGCAAAAACTAGTCTAGGACCGAGATGACTGTCAAGCTCATCCCATATATCTTCACCACCACAACCATCACTCTTCTTACCCCATAACCCACACTGATTAAAAATAATGCCAGAAGAAACATAAAGATAAAGAATCTAGCGTTGGCACGTAGGCTGTTTTGCACCAATTCTCCACTTAATCCCAAAAATTGAAGACCACATGTTATGCTGGTAGAGTAGCTAAATTAAACTAGTAACGCTAGGTATAATATCAAAGTGTAAACGAGAAGTCTAGTCATCATGTGAAAGAAAACAGTAAATTACCTCAATGGGTGACATAACACTCCTTGATTGTCCTCCTATCTGTTGATAATTTGTATCAGATGATACTTTAGACACCAATCCAAGTTCTCTGAATCTTTTCGGAGGACAAGCCAATAGTGTGGACATTTCATTTTCCTTCTCCTTTTCACCACTTGTGAACTTGTCAGAACAGGTTGTTGTGGAAGTATGCACCTCTTCAAGATACACATGTCGAGATAAATCACTGTCTGAGTGACCGACAATGGAAGAAGGATATTTACCAATACTACCAGAAAATTCTTTTCCATGATCATTGACCATGATATCATAAATTAACTGTAGGATATGTGCACGTTTTAGAGAAGCCTCAATAGGAGGGAACCAATCCTGGTTTAGCTGGAGATCATATTACACAGCAGAAACTTAGACAAATATTGTTACTAATGTAAAATAAGGTTCCAAGAGCATAAAGGTTTAGTATTTCATCAATTAGTGTACTGTACAAATAAAAATTCTACAAGTGCACAAATGATAAATAAATATTCAAACATTTGTTTATAATGCTAAAACATGTATAATATTATTTTTGGCAAAATACACTTTTTGTCCTTGAAATTTGAACTTAGTGCCTATTTGGTCCTGAAGTTTCAAAAGAGAGACATTTAGTTCCTAAAGTTTGAAAAATAGTTCTAAATGGTCTCTAAGCTCATTTGACCGTTTGTTGATTCACGAAAAAAATGACGTGGTATTAGTATGTACTTTTTGGTGATTAGACATGTGATGTGGCACTCTTTTCTTCTCTTCTTCCTTCTTTTTTCTCCTTCTCCGACAACCTTTTCCAGCGCTGCCATCTCCCTCGTCTCTCATCTTTGCTCGTCAGTAGCAGAGCGAGGGAAATAGAATCCCTCAAATCTAATACGAGGATCTAAAACACCGAATGAGGAGGGGCTTCCCCTTTCGTTTCAGCTTCTATCTCGACAATTCCTGCAGCACTTCTGAGATGTACGCCGCAGCGCCCTAAGGTAGTGTCATGGCGCTGTAGCCACAGCCCTCCTAGCCCCAATGTCCTGCAGCTATGTTTTCTCTTGTTTTGGATCTATTGCTAACACTTCCTAACCATCAACGACACAAGTGGAGCTAACATCTCTAGTAGGTTTCATGTGAAGAATGCATCTCCTCAAGAGACACATTCTCAAGTCAAAGGCTTGATAAAGAGTGCATCTCTTCTCTTGAAGAGATGCATTCTAGTTAACGGGATCGACTCTGGTTAAATTCGACAAATGTGTGTTTTGAAGACACATTTAGAGAAACGCATTCACAAAATGATGAAAACCCACTTCAAATAGCAAGAATGGGTAGTCCTAGACATGGAGGTTGGGTGAGAGTTTGTGACTTACCTCTAGAATTCAATAAGCAGTGTTTCAAGGCTATTGGAACTCATCTCGTAGGTCTGAAGAGTATTGCGTCTAAAACCCTTAATTTATTGGATTGCTCAAAAGCTTGGATTCAAGTAGAAGACAACTTTTGTCGGTTTTTACCTGCTTCGATCAAGATTACTTCTCCTCCTTTGGGTTCCTATTCAATTTGTGTGCTTGATTCGATTAAGGTAGAAAGCGACTTGGATTTGCATTCACACTCGATCGCAGACTCTTCAAATCCATCGAATATTCAAAGATACTAAAGAGTTTTGGTAGATGAAGAGTCTTTGTTAGATAAGGAGGCCTTTAAAACCAACGGCAGCTTCTGCAGTTTAATTGTGACGGTGGATTGTAGCCCTAAGACTCAGTGGGAATGTAGCCCTAATTTTGATCCTGAAAGATGTCACGCAGAAACCTTATTCCTCCTCTATCCTTCTTTTATTTCGGAAAGAAATCTACCTCGAGATTTCCTATGGATTTCAAATCTTCAAAGACTGCTGGCATATTTACAACCAATTTGGAAAAAGTCTTTAATGAAGAAAGAGAAAAGCATCCGAATAGGAAAAGTCTAGCGTCAAATGAGTCCCCTTCGGTTGGAAAGTTTTTGAATTCTACAAAGATGCCCCTTCAAATTCAGTCACCCCTTAAAACCAGTTTGGAAATCAACTTTAATGAAGAAAGAGAAAGACATCGAAATGGCAATAATATCACGCAATCTGTGACTCCTAATGGCAAATCTTCGATTTCTGCAAATGAGTCTCTTCAAATCCAGCCACCACTTATTATCGGAATTATTAACTCAACTAATGATGTGGCAAAGAAAAGATTCATGAATTCTAATAATTTGGATGATGAGGAAGATTTAAATCTCAACATAAGTAGTCAAGATTCTCCATCATTTTCAGAAATTCAGGACTGTATTCAGGAGGATTTTTTGGAATTTTCTTTTGCAAAGGATTTTAATTCTCTCTTCAATGAAGGCCCATCTCCCTCTTTAAAGGTGCTGATTGCAACATCAAAAAGAAAATGGCCCCAAAAGAAGATGGTTTGATTGACAAGGAGGAAGCTTTGAGTTCTAAAGATCAAGAGGTTATGGCTTTTTTTTAAGCTGTTGGAATCACTTTAGATCCAATATTACCAAATTTTTGAAGCTTTTCTATTCTGGTAAAGGAGAGGTCCGGTTTTTGTGAACTTAAGTTCTAGTTTTAGGATCCCTTTTTAATAACACCCATTAGATTCGCATAGCGTTCCCTTGGCCCTTGATGGAAGGTATTTTCAAAGAGTTACCTGTGATATTCAAGAGAGGAAGATTTGAATTTCGTTTGAGCTTGTCCTCGAGAAATTTTTGTTTGGTGCAATGGTATCGAAGCTTTGTTGGTGTTGGTTTATGTGAGGCTTGGTCTTTGGTAATCATTGTTTCTATTGGCTTGATAAGGCTTTTACCAAGTTTTATTCTTCAACTTCCAGAGATTCTGGTTCAATGTTCTCTTCAGCTTTTCAATCTCCAGGTGGGTGTTGGTTTTGGGTTATTTTCAGTAGGCGTTCTTCGTTTTTGTATTCTAAGTTGTTTTTCAAGCCTATGTTTTCATTTTTTTTTGGTTCTTCCTCTAGCTTCTGTCTGTGACTTTGGTCCTTGAATCTCTGTTACTTGGTCACTTTTTCTTCTCTTTGCTTCTTTTTGGAAGTTTAAGGAAGTTTGTATCCTTGAACTTTTTTCTTCCTTTTCATATTTATAAGGAAAAGTTTGTTTCTTGTCAAAAAAAATAAAAATAAAAAAATAAATAATGCTTACCCTAGTAAGAGATTTGAAGTACATTCAAGATCAAATAAGCTAATATGTACTAGTCATATACACTATATTTGGGCCTCCCAATAAAAAGAAAAATGATTGAATGTGTTTGTCATGATGTGGTTCCCCATCATATACACTATACACTAAAAGGCTTTCATATAATTCCTTGGTCTTTTTGTACATCATAACTTCATTCTTGCTTGTCCAAAGAATATTTTCCATAACATGAACTCCATTAAGTAAAGAAGGTCGATGGGGAGTTGCAGGTGTAAATTCCAAAATGGTCTAGCGTCCATGAAAGAACAATGTTGTTCAGTTTCTAGTTGTCAAAAAGGAGAACGTCAACTCCCCAACCTCACTATCATGTACGGTTCTCCAAATAAATAACTTCCACGAGTTCGCTCTTTGTCCAAAATATCTCCAACATCCACATTTTCTTAACACGAACTCTGGTATTATCTAGAGAAAGTCAAGTTAGAGGTTTATCAGTGGCCAGCAAGTGTTTTATAAACTAGTACTTCTCCGATAACAAATTTAAATGGTAAGGAAGTCCTTATATCTTTTATAATTTGTCTCAGAATTCTAGGAACAAATCCTTCCTTGTTCTATTCTCATCCAGACCATATCAGTTAGAGACCATAAAATGCCACAAAGATCACATTTCATGAAGAAACCTCCAAAGTTCATACAGCCAATTTTTTTTGGCTTTCCAACACCTAAACAACCAATCTACCAGAATCAATCCCTCCCTTCATGAGCCTCACCACAGAAAGTTTCTCATTATATTCAAGACTTTTAATCACATTGGGGCGCATTTTAAAGATGGACAAAAACAAAAGTAGGCGTGCTTGAAAGCACCTATACAAGGATTGTGAGAATATTCCCTTTTAAAAAGTAGCATTCTTCCATTTTTTCTTTCTTTGAAAAATATCATTTCCTTATTTTCTCCATCTCTTTCAAAACTATATCAAATACCAAAACCTAGATACTTAAGGGGGCATTTATTATCAAGTTCAGATCACGAGAAATGTACAGTGCAATGGTTTGTGTTCATTATGTTAACTTTCAAAAACCTTTCTCCAGAACCATAGGTTTCAAAAAACCCAAGGACAAATGACTAGAAATAGACCAATCATTTTTCTCCTAAACCAAATCTTTAATCCATGGATACTGGATTCCACTTTTCCCGAAATATCAATTTTAGGCTAAGCCAAGGGGTTAATTTCAGTCTAGCCAACAGCGTAATAGTGAATAGGTTTGGTTGTATCACATTATGTGTGAAAATTTTGCCAAATAATAATTTCTCGGAAAAGGTGAAAGGAAGTATGTAGTTAAAGTTGTTATACATACTTTTGTCCTTTATTGTAATTTTACACTTATTAGTTTAGGGCTTCCATGCATGCCTATATATATATTTAAGTCTAGTGTATAAAATGAGACAAGTTATTCTCCCATATTTGGTCTCACATTAACAAAAATATCTATACGGATCCAATAATGTGCATAAAGAAGATTTGTAATTTGATCAAAGAGAAGGACAGATGACCTACAAAGTTTGAGAACCTCGAGATTTTGAATGGGCTGAAGTTAACTGGTGCACCCTCCAAAAAACGCTCCACATAATGAAGTAAGAAGAGACCACAGTCGAATGAATTTTCCTGCTGTGGTAACTGAACAAAAAGCAAAAGTCAAGGTAAGACATGGAAACAAAAAATGAAACATTTCAGGTGGTCACAAAAGTAACATTTCCTTTCTTTGGTTATTGTGGCACTAGGCTCCATCTCATTTACTACACGAGGACACCCACAACGACCAGCACTAACGAGACATCAAGGGTTTTCATTTATTAAGCTCTCCACCTAAAGGAGCTTTTCCAACATAGCATCCAAAATAATCAAAGTTTTCTTGATGTCTGTGGTGTCTAGACCAATTTACAGACACCAAGGTGGATGATTGCAAGTAATATTTATCACATTCTCAGGCTAGCAGCGAGTAGGCAGTGAGAGACTATGTCCTCAAGATTCAGCCAACAGTAGGCTTAGTTAGACATTTAATTGCTTAATAAGGTACCTGAAGACCTAAGTCAAACAGTGCTTTTCAGAAAAACAATACAGCCTAAGAGAATGATGTCTGGCTCTATATCCACAAATTAACCAATACTTCAAATTGGGGACATTTCCTATCCCATCGGAGCCATTCACTGAACTTCCAAAAGCAACTTCCCAACTTAGAATAAAAACTTTAATACGATTTACAATACTCTATTATCACATTTATCACCAACATGTGCAAACGCTTTTTCTTGATAGATAATAATTAATACAAGAAAAATGGAAAGAAAAAGATTACATGGGATTGTACAATATCAGAATCATATCAGGAATTAAAAAACAACTACAAATTGATTTTATGGGGAGAGGGGTCAATCTTATCAATGACAACATACAATCAAAATTTTAGTATCCAAGGATTAAGATTTTAGAAAAGGCCAATACCTCAAGGGGGACAAATTGCAAGGCTAAGAACTTTGCAGAAATCCCGACATCTCCATCACCATGCCTCTCTTTCCACTCCTCACATAAATAACTGTCACCATATGATAAATAAATGATAATGCGATAAATCTTCACATCAGAATAGAATCTGAAAGTACGAGGAATACCATGAAATATAGGCTTCTAAGCTAAGATAACAAGAAATCCATAATAATTAGATAAATTAAGAAATAACAAATCGGGGAAACAACAGGAACAAAGGAGAACAATACTGCATAAAAAGATCATGAATACAACCTCAAATACCAGAAATAAGATCCTTGGTGAAACACTTGGTGACCAGAAACAAGACAATATCAATTCGGAAAATGCAAAACCAAAGTCCAAGAATTATTTCCGGTGGGTTTTAAAGGCCTGAAACATATTAATTGAACGTATTTTGTTTATTTAGAGGTCCCCTAATATCATCCAAAGAAAAAGACATTCTTATTAGTATTTTCCTTTTTTTTTTAAGAAACAATTTTTCATTGATATACCCAGTTTTAACTTCATTTACGAGCTACCAATTGAAGTGTATTAGGAGTCCACATAATTGCAAAAGAGGACTTTAAACCTTTTGCTTTTGTTGAATTTTAAGAGATACTCAGGTTCTAGTCACTTTGAGTGTCTTTTATATAAAATTAGTAGCAATAGTTGTTTATGTAGAGCATAAATTTGAATTTTTTTTTATAATTTGATTCTAAATAATCTCACATTTAAGTAGCACTGAACCCCTTTTGGAATGTGGGCTTCATAATTTCAGTAATTTCCTTCGTGGTCTTCTTAGTTTCGGTTTTTATGACTTGGAGAGAATCTGAAGGGCCGAATTATGGAATTTGCTCATGCAACTATTGTTTCTGCATCCAAACTTTAGAACATAGACAGAAGGCTGGTGAAGTCTATTTGGAGCTCCAGACATATTGGTTGGGTTGAGTTGGAGGCTGTGGGCTCTTCGGGTGCGTAGTTATTATGTGGAACCAGAACTCAGTGACAGTGGTAGGTCTTTTTTCGGTCTCTATTTTATTTAGCTACAAAGACAGCCTCAGCGGTTGGATCACAGGCATTTACGGCCCAGCAAGGCACAAGGGTAGAGAGGCTTTATGGCAAGAGCTTGTTGCTGTGTAGGGGGGGACTTTAACGTAGTCAGAAGAATTGAAGAGAAGTCTAACGAGGGCAGGGTAACTAGAAGCATGAAGCTTTTCAATACTCTGATTGATGAGTTAAGTCTCTTCGATGTTCCTATGAAGAATGGGGCTTTCACTTGGTCCGACTTTAGAGAAAGACCTTCGGCCACCCGCTTTGATAGGTTCCTTCTTTCCAAAGGATGGGTGGAGGCCTTCAGTGAGATTGAGCTTGTCCGTCTCGCGCGAACTACTTCAGATCACTTTCCTCTTCAGTTGAATCTCGGTAATCAGAAATGGGTTCCGGCTCCTTTTCGTTTCGAAAACATGTGGTTAGATCATCCGTCCTTTAAGGCGAGTGTAGAGTTATGGTGGAATGCTCTGCCCTCCGAGGGCTGGCCGGGCTTTGCTTTTATGTCCAAACTAAAAGGCCTCAAATGTATGTTAAGATCTTAAACAAAGAAACCTTCGGGGTAGTCGAAAACTCGTTGAAAAAGTGTGAGGAAAGACTGGAAGCTATTGATAAGATTGAGGAGGCAGGTCTCCTTTTCGAAGAAGAAAGGAAAGAGAGAATAGATATCAAAAAGTCTTACTTGGACTTAACAATGAGAGAGCAAAGGAAGTGATTGAGGAGGCAGGTCTCCTTTTCGAAGAAGAAAGGAAAGAGAGAATAGATATCAAAAAGTCTTACTTGGACTTAACAATGAGAGAGCAAAGGAAGTGGGTACAGAAATGCAAGCTACAATGGATTAAAGTGGGGGATGAAAACTCAAACTTCTTCCACATATGGGCTTCAGCTAGGAAATCCAAAACGCTTATCTCAATGCTAGAGAAAGAAAATGGGGAGTTACTAACCCCTAAGGAGGAGATTGTGAATGAAATAATTGGCTTTTATGAGAATTTATATGGTGAGCCGAAGGGCACACGTTTTCTGATTGAAGGGGTGCAATGAGACAAGTTGGAGGACTATTGGAGATAATGGCTTGAACATCCTTTTGAGATGGAAGAGATCCAACGAGCTGTTTTCAATCTGGGTAATTTAAAGTCCCTGAGCCCCGATGGTATTACAAATGAATTTTTCAAAAAGTTTTGGAACATTCTCAAACATGATCTGTTAGGAATGTTCCAAGATTTTTTCAGAACTGGCATTATTAATCGTAGCACTAATGAAACATACATTTGCTTGATTCCGAAGAAGTCTAAGGCAATGAAAATGGGGGAATTTAGACCGATCAGCCTTGTTACATCTTTGTACAAGATTATTTCGAAAGTGCTAGCTGACAGACTTAAAAAAGTGCTGCCCTAAGTTATAAGTAATGCCCAATCAGCATTTGTGGAGGGGAGACAGATCATTGACACTATTTTGATAGCTTCAGAAGCTGTTGGAGACTTGGAAGCGAGGAAAGAGTCTGGCTTTATTCTAAAGTTGGATTATGAAAAAGCTTATGATAAAGTTGATTGGACTTACCTCGATTCGGTGCTAGAGCAAAAGGGCTTCGGGAACAGATGGAGGGGTTGGATGAAAGGGTGTCTTCACTCAGTAAATTTCTCCATCCTTATCAATGGTAGACCTAGAGGTAAGATTATGGCTAAGAGAGGCCTTCGTCAAGGAGACCCGTTGTCTCCCTTTCTGTTT